CACATCCAGACACTGGGCTTGTTCCCAGCTTTTCATATGATGAACACTGGGGCATCCTCATCAACATGTATAAGCTTTTCCCCACCTCCTCCCCTCACTCGGTACTGTCAGACTCCAGTTTTTGTCATGCTGATGGTGTAAAGCCACATCTTACTCATCTGTATTCCCTTTCACCATCTGAGTTTTTCTTCTGTGAGCTGCCTGTTCATACCCCTTTTTAAAATTTAGATGGCAAGCCGGGCTCGGTGGCTCAGCCTGTAATCCTGCGCTTTGGGAGGCTGAGGTGAGCGGATTACCTGAGCCCGCGGGTTCGAGACCTGCCTGGGCAAATTGGTGAGACCTCATCTCTACAATAAATCAAAAAATTAGCTGGGTGTGGTAGTGTGTGCCTGTAGTTCCGCTACTTAGAAGGCTGAGGCGGAAGGATTGCTGGAGCCCAGCAGGTCGAGGCTGTGGTGGCTGGGAGCGGCCACTGCACTCCAGTCTGGGTGACAGAGTGAGACTCCAACTCAAAAAATAAAAAAATAAAATAAAATAAAATTTAGATGGCAGCCGGGCTTGGTGGCTCAGCCTGTAATTCCGCGCTTTGGGAGGCTGAGATGAGTGGACTGCGTGACCCCGCGGGTTCAAGATCCGCCTGGGCAACTTGGCAAGACCTCATCTAAGACCTCATCTCTACAATAAATTAAAAAACTTAGCTGGGTGTGGTAGCGCGCACCTGTAGTTCTAGCTACTTGGAAGGCTGAGGTGGAAGGATCGCTGGAGCTCAGCAGATTGAGGCTGCGGTGGCCGGGAATGGCCACTGCACTCCAGTGCAGTGAGTGAGACTCCAACTCAAAAAAAAAAAAATTTAGATGGTTTATTTTTCTTCCAAATGTACAGGGTCCTCTGTTGTGTGTGATGTAAAAACCTTACCCCAGTTAGGTTTTTCAATTTTTCTGCCTTTTTTCTTTTATTAATGAACTCCTTCCCCTATCCAGAGGTCACAAACCCTTCCGTCTTTTCTTCTGTTAAAGTTGCATGTTTCACCTGTAGGCCATCTTACTTTTCCCCATATGAGAACTCACAATTGTCCCAATGCCTTTATCGAGGAGCCTGTTCCTCTCTTGTCATTTTTGAAGAACTTATTCTAAAGAGTAGAGACCAAGATGGCATGCTGATACCCAGACTTACGCAAGCCTTTCTGGGAGACAGAATCCCAGGACTCAGATCCCAAACCCTGAGGCTGCATGAGAAGGGAACTTGCCGAGGGCCTGGGTAGGCAGCAGAGAGAGAAGCAGCTGGTCTCGTCTACCTCCCTGGACTGGCCAAGGCTAAATGTTGACCCTCCGTGGCCTTGAAGCCTCATCTGAGGGAATAGGCCACATGGCTCTGTGGGAGGAGCGCCACAGACACGTGCTCCATACCTGCAAGAGAGAGGAGAAGACCCTGCAAGTGGAGGGAAGAAGGGCAGGAAGGGGATCTTTCTGTTTTTCCCTCTGCGCCTGGCATGCAGGTGCTTTCCCACAGCCTCTGGCGACTGTTGCTGTAGATTCCACTTGCACCCACCTTCACCTACTGCTACAAACACAGGGCTCCACGTGCAAAGCAGTCTCAGAGCACTGTAACATACCCACTTCTGACATCAAGGAGTAATCCTTCACTGAAGCTCAGCGCTTCACAGTTGATTGCCAGCATTTTGATGTCCCTTTAAACTTCATAGCAATTTTTCCAAGTTTCTGGGGTAGGATATCCAATTTACAAAAGAGAAAAACACAGAACTCATTCAAGAACAATGAGCTAGAGAGTGGCTAAACTGGGTCCTAATCTCTATAGGACTCCAAGGCCAGTGGGTGCTCTTTTCAAGAACTCCATGACAGCTGCCATGTTTGAGCACATACTCTGTGCACGGAAGGCCCTGAGGTAGGTGTTCCTCATGGGCTGTGGGATCTGATTTAATCCATTTCCTCACTCACAACTCTAAGCAGTAAGAATAATTATTCCCACTTTACAGAGGTGGGAAACAAGGTTTGACAAGTGAATGAGTTGGCCAAGGTCACACAGCCTGCTGGTTCAGGACCTCGCCACTGACCTTCTAGGCGCCAGGACATTCCACTTTGATTTCACGTTCTTTTGCAGTCGTACTCCTTAGTCAATGTTTGCAGCTGCAAGTAACCCTGTACTCTCGCTGCCTCGATGACCTCGCCTAACCTCTTGAGACTTATCTACTTCTGTGTAAAATAGGGATAACATCTACAGTACAGTCTTGTGAGAATGACATAATATCATCTGTGCAAAACACTCTGTAGATAGAGGTAAATGGTAGTTATTAGAATAGGCAGTTTGTAGCCAGTGGTGAGGAAGAGTCTTAGGCCAGAATGCTTGACTTCAAATCCCAGCTCTGCCACCTGTACCTGTATGATGTATATTTTTTTGAGTCAGAGTCTCCCTTGTTGCCCAGGCTGGAGTGCAGTGGCACACTCATGACCATTGCAGCCTCGACCCACTGGGCTCAGACAATCCTTCCACCTCAGCCTTCCAAGTAGCTGGAACCACAGGCATGTGCCACCATGCCTGGCTAGTTTTTTTTTGAGTTGGAGTTTCACTCTGTTGCTCAGGCTGGAGTGCGGTGGCACACTCATGGTCACCCTGTGTTGACCTGCTGGGATCAGGTGATCCGTCTGCCTCAGTCTTCCAAGTAGCCAGTACTACAGGCACAAACTACCATGCCCGGCTAATTTTAGATTTATTGTAGAGATGAGGTCTCGCCAAGTTGCCCGGGCTGGTCTCGAACCCGCGGGCTCAGGTAATTCACTTGCCTCGGCCTCCCAAAGTGCTGGGATTACAGGCTGAGCCACCGAGCCTGGCCCTAATTTTTTATTTATTGTAGAGACGAGGTCTTACTATGTTGCCCAGGTTGGTCTCGAACCCGTGGGCTAAGGCAATCCTCTTGCCTCTACCTCCCTAAGTGTTTAGATTACAAGCATAAGCCACTGCGCCCATCACCTGTATGACCTAAGGCTTGTTATTTAACCTCTCTGTGCCTCAGTTTCCTTATTTGTAGAATGGGGGTAATACCCACATCTGCCTCAAAGAGTCATTGTAAGGAATAAGTGTAGCATCCCGGGTGAAGTCTGCACACCATAAATGCTCAATAAGTACTAGCTTTTTTTTTTGAGTTAAGAATTTACTAGAGAGAGAGAAAAGGAAGCATGCAATGCCAGTACTAGCTATACTAGTGTGAGTTATGTTCCTCCTACCTTATCGAATAATTCCATTTGCCCTTTAATCATCTGTACCATACTCTGCTTTCCCCTCAATAATATTCTTTTTTTCTTTGAGTTGGAGTCTCACTGTGTCGCCCAGGCTGGAGTGCAGTGGCACACTCAAGGCCACCGCAACCTTGCCTGCTGGGCTCAGGCAATCCTTCCACTTCAGCCTTCCAAGTAGCAGGAACTATAGGCATGCACCAGCACAACCAGCAAATTTTTCAATTTATTGTAGAGATGAGGTCTTGCCATATTGCCCACACTGGTCTCAAATCCATGGGCTCAGGCAATCCTCGCCTCAACCTCCCAAAGTGCTGGAATTATAGGTGTGAGCCACTGTGCCTGGTTCCACAGTAATGTTTATAAGATATTTACAGGTAGAAGATAATGAATAAATTATCTTCTAAGATAATTAATAATGCAGTGAGGCTGGGCTCGGTGGCTCACGCCTGTAATTACAGCAGTTTGGGAGGCCAAGGTGAGAGGATTGCCTGAGCCCATGGTTTGAAACCAGCTTGGCCAACTTGGTGAGACCTCATCTCTACAATAAATCAAGAAAAATTAGCCGGGTGTGGTGGTGCATGCCTGTAGTTCCAGCTTCTTGGAAGGCTGAAGTGGAAGGATCACTTGAGCCCAGCAGGTTGAGGCTGTGGTGGCTGTGAGCAGCGTGCCACTGCACTCCAATCTGGGTGACAGAGTGAGACTCCGACTCAAAAAAAAAAAAAATGCACCGGGCTCGGTGGCTCAGCCTGTAATCCTGTGCCTTTGGGAGCCTGGGGTGAGTGCATTGCCTGAGCCCACGGGTTCGAGACCTGCCTGGGCAACTTGGTGAGACCTCATCTCTACAATAAATTTTTTAAAAAATCAGCTGGGCGTGGTAGCATGTGTCTGTAGTTCCAGCTACTTGGAAGGCTCAGGCGGAAGGTTCACCGGAGCCCAGCAGGTTGAGGCTGCAGTGGCCGGGAGCGGCCACTGCACTCCAGTCTGGGCGACAGAGTGAGACTCCAACTAAAAAAAAAAAAAATGCAATGAGCTACCCTTACTCCCTTTTATCATCCTCTACTTTTATTCTCAAACATAACTTATTGCCTTTTATATTGGGAAGTTATTCACTTATTTAGTATTTTCATTGCTTATTGTCTGTCCTCTTCAGACATATCCCCAGCACCTACAACAGTGCCTGGCACATAGTAGCTGCTCAGTTAATGTTAACTATTATGATAGCATCTACCTGACTACCTTGTTTAAGAGAGTTCTCTCTTTGCTCGCTCTGAATTCCTGATTCTCCTTAATCAACTTTTTCCGGTTTTGCGATAGCACTTATTACCTTTTCGAACACTCTATAATTTCCTTATTGGATATTGTTATTTCTTGTTTCCCTCCAACCCCAATACACACACCTAGTTAGTAAGTCGCATGGAAGCAAGGACTTTTGTAGGCTTTCTTCATTTACATAGCATCAACAGCTAGAACAGTCTGGCATACAACAGGAAATCAAGAGTATTTGATGAATGCATTCTCTATAGTGTAGTGCCAGAAGCAGTGGAAGTGTAGTCAAAAGGCCGCCTGCAACCGCCACGAAATTCGCGTGTCGTCTTGGCCTCTCTGGGCCTCAGTGCCCCCCTTCGCCGTTCTGACCCTCCTTTGGGGTCGAGTCGCGGGGCAGCGTCCTGCAGCAGGTGGCCGCTGGGGGGCAGTGGTGCTCCCCTGTCCCGCCCCGCCCGCCCCGCCCACTTTCCGGACGGCCCGCCCCTGGCTAGAGAAGCCCAGTCCCGGGGCGTCTCGCTCAGTTACCCGGCGCCTGCCCTTCGGGCCCTCGCAGCCCCGCCATGTCCTGCTACATCTACCAGCTGCCCTCCTGGGTGCTGGACGACCTGTGCCGAAACATGGACACGCTCAGCGAGTGGGACTGGATGCAGTTCGGTGAGTGGGGCCCGAGGAGGGCCGCCGGTCCCCCTAGCGATCCCGCCTTGAGCTGGCCATCTGGCCGCCAGGCCCCCTCAGGGACTCTGGTTAAATGGATCCTGATCCGAGGGGCGTGTGCGCTGAGATTTATGGTTTAAGCATCTAGAAGGTGTTACGTGGTCTTCGAAGATTTCTGTTGGGAGTTCTCTATTGGGTCATTACAATAGGTGATGACTTTATAATGACATAAGTCGTGACCGCCTCTACTTTGCTGTTTGCAGTAAAGTGGATAATAGCGGTACAGTGAGTGTGTGTACTCTGTAACAGGCCCTACCGTGCGATCCCATGGAATCCCCACAGCTGCCCGTGAAGCGCATACTACTTCTTTTTTTTTTTTGAGTTGGA